CTTCACACAGCGTTCTCGTGCTAATTTGAAGATTAACTGGTTGAGTGTCACAACCTCAAAATAACTCCGCCTGGATTATTAAAGATTATGTTGTAATTCCACTTTTAATCTGTAGCGCTTTGAGATTGGAGAGTCGCACTCTGTGATGAAGTGTGAGTGATGAAGAGAGATGAGGAGGGACGTCCTGCTGCTGTCGAGAGAAACCTAGTCCTCGCATTATCTGATGCTGTAAAGAGAAACCATCCGAGTGGATCTCTAAAACGATCCGGTCTGTGAACCATCACTAACCCTCAATGAACTGTCCCTTCTCTAAGATGTCCTCTCACTGAATGCTCCTCACTAAACCGTGTGAGTACCCCTAGACTTTATAGAAATGTATATTGATTTAAATAAATGTTTTAATTAGAAACCGTTAGCTCAGCATTAAGACTGGATGAATTTAGGTGTGAATAGAACATAGTAAATCACAGATATGATCAGTGTACTGATCATATCTGTGGCTTCATGTTCCTCCTTCATTATCTGTCTCCAGATCCTCATCGAGTGGATGATCCTGACCCAATTAGTGGGAGTCTTGCAGGCAAGGAGGGGGCATCATAGTCCAGCTCTTGTCATGCCCCCCCTGCTCAGGAAAAGAGATGCTAATTAGTTATCAGATCATCATTAGTTATCACATCAAGCACCCTGTGGGCTGCTAGAGTCCTAATCCACCACACGGTAAAGTTCTATTCTTTAAGACACACTTCCTGTTTCCGGAGCTCTTCCTTACTGTCTCTAATGGAAAGCGTCTTGAGAGTTCATAATAATGATAATTATTCGTAATAACATGTCGGGGCAGATGAGCATCAGGGCGGAGGCTCGGTAATGAGGTGAAGGAATATTCAGGCCCATGATGACATGTGACAGGCAAAGATGTCGGCCATCAGGCGCGATGACCCGTCTGCGAGGTGACGAATCCATAGTGATGCTGACCTTATTACCCAAAACCCACCAGACACACGAAAGCCTCTAAATGGGTCGCTTAAGTGGAACACTTAAATTCAGCTCCATTCAGATACATGCACACATATGAGTAAAGGATCAATAAGTAAACTGATCCTGTTAATTATCCAATTGATTTCAATATTATTTCTGATCTTTTCTCTTTTCTGAACATAATCAAACTAGATAATAGATACATTTCAAGTAAATAAGACATGTACATCATCATCTAACAGACCAGTATTTATAGAAAACACTGATCCCTAACGGTCAGGAACCTGGCTACACAAGTGTACACATACATATGTACTTCTTATATACGTGTATACATATGTATGTATATGTAATGAACCCACCAGCTTTTTTTCGTCCTCTTTCTCTTCGTAGTCTTTTGGGCTGTGTTCTGTGACGAGATTAGAGACGAGTAAATAAACCTTTCCACTAGTCTTTTTGTTACTATGCAATGCAACGTACAGGGGTCTGGGGGCTCACCGCCAGAGATGACTTGCTGAGGGGGAAGGAGCCTAATGTTACACCACACGTGGAAACACAAACTAAACATAACTGTTGACACCGAGGTGCACTACAGAAAAATGAAGGGAACCAGAAGCACCACCGCCGAGATGAGCCAGTCACTCCTACCAGTGGCACCAACAGAACAGCAGTGGGAGGGTGCCGCAATATTTAGAGGCCCGCTTCAGCAGGTGAGCCACTGGGGGACATAGAAGCTTTAGCGCTCCAGCGGCAGAGTGGTGCAACCACAAGGACGCAGCTTTGACGTAGGAATTAAATGCTATGCATAAGGAGCTATGCACCGGCTTGAAGGCCACGCTCTCCCACCCCCAACCTGAGTCGGCAGTTGCCGTCGATGACGCGGAATGGAGAGACACCACACACACAATGCGGCAGCCACGCTCCCTCGGCCGCAATCTCTAGCCAGACAACTCTAAAAGTCTAAAACCACCACGACCTGACAAGTTGAGCCTCACTGGACCCTGCAAGAGCCACGCCAGACCCGCCACGCTGCCGACGCCAAAGTTTACCCCCGAGAGCAGACACACCTGAAGTGGATGATCCGCTCATACATATAGTCTCAGCGGCCCCGCCCTGTGATCAAAACGATGCACAGTGGGATGGGGAGCATAGATGGAAAGCCACCTGATTTAGAACACCCCAAAAATGGAGATCAACCACTTGGAAGAGGAGAGGAGTTCAAATACCTTTTGGTTTGGGTTTGGTTTGATGATAAACTCTCATGGAAATTTCATAATGAATATTAGAATCAAAGTGTAAAAAAGTAATTAACCTGATGAGGATGGTGACTGGTCAAAATTGGGGAGCAGATGATCTTTGATGAATTGATATAAAGCTTTGATTAGATCAACTTTTGATTATGGTTGTATTGTATACAGTTCAGCTTGTGAAACTTCCCTGGAGAAGCTGGATAGAAAACCGTTTAAAGCTCTAAGTTTAGCCTTAGGGGCCATGAAAACAACACCCACAAGTGTGGAGGCAGAGGAAACGCCTCTCAATCTAAGATTTATTAAACTCTCCTCTCATACATACTGGGTCAGATTATAGGGAAGTACTAACAATCCAGCAAAATCGGTACTTAAGGATTGCTGGGAATACTACTACAAATGTAGTGGGTTTGGATCGAACAGAGATAATATACAGCAGATCAGTATGGAATGAAAAATCTAGAATAAAGCCCAGCACTAGCTCTGTGTTCCTCCATGGACACTTCCATCCCCAAATACAGATACACAACTGTTAAATCAAAAGAAAGCACTTCCAGATGAATGTTTTTTTGCAGCGTATTCCCAAAATTACCTGAATTCTTCATACTATAGATTCCTTAAAATTTTCACAGATGGATCCAAAGACCCAAGCAGCGGTCACTGTAGTATAGGAATCTATATCCCAGAATTCAAAAGAAAGTATGAATATAGAATAACTAATTATTGATCTGTTTACTCAAGTGAAATTGAGTAATGGATCAAAGAAATAAAAACCCTTAAATCAATTATATGTACAGACTCCATGTCAGTATTGCAAAGTTTTGAGGAAACATCCTCACAAGATGACCATACACTAGAAATAAAATACCTGTTATTAGAAACCTAGGGATCATAGCTCAGTTTTGCTTGGTCCCAGCACATATTGGATTAAAAGGAAATAAAATGGCTGATAAAATAGCAAAAAAGGCTCATATACATGCTCATATAAAAACATATAGGCATTAAGGTTCCATTAGGAAAGGGAGAAGCTAAAAGTTTAATAAAGATCGAGACCATTCAATGGTGGCAAGGTGAATGGGAATCTGACCCTGAAGCTGGACAATACCATAAAATACAAAGCCAGGTTGGAGGGAAAAGAGTGCCCGTACTGGGTCTTGACAGAAGAGAGGATGTGGTGTATTCCAGATTAAGACTAGGTCATCCAGGTCTCAATTCCACACTAAAAATGATAGGAAAGGTGATGGATTAAGTACTGAATGTAAAGAAGATGTTGAACATGTTCTTTTTAACTGTAAGAAAAATAATAAGTTCAGAATGAAATTGCAAGAGGTCGAAGCTGGAAATGAGAGGCTTATAAATTATATTCTAGAAGAACAAGGAATGCAAAGAGACAGAATCAAAGCTTTAGTTGTGTTTTTAAATGAATCAGCTATTGAAAAGAATTTAAGTTATTTATATATATATATCTCCATCCATCCATCTGCAAACCGCTTATCCTGGACACGGGGTCACAGGGGGCAGGAGTCCATCCCAGCCAATTTAGGGTGATAGACGGGGTTCATCCTGGACCGGTCGCCAGCCAATCACAGGGCTACACAGAGACACACAACCATCCACACTCACACCCACCTACAGGCCATTTAGAGTCACCAACCAACCTGATCCCCTGAGCAGGTCTTTGGACTGTGGGAGGAAGCCGGAGAACCCGGAAAGAACCACGAAGACACAGGGAGAACATGCAGACTCCACACAGAAAGGCCACTGGGTGGAGTGGAACCAGGACCTTCTTGCTGTGAGGCGACAGTGCTGACCACCACGCCACCAGTGAGAAAAAGGTCTGGATCTTGTGTCCTGCTCCATCCAAAGGGCTCATAAGAAGATTCGTCCATCAGAGGTCTTAGGCAGCAGGACTGGGAATGATGGGAACGAGTGGCAGAGACTGGCTTTAGTGGTTCCAGAGTGTCACTAAACATTACCTGTGCAGGACCAGAGTCTCTTTGAAAGATCAGTAGTTGTGAAGGTCCAGATTCACAGTGAAGAGCCAGTCTCTTTAATGGTTGAGGTCTTCCCAGAGATGACCCGGTGAGGATGGCAGTGCTTTGAGAGCATATGACAAGTCCCACGAAGACACATCTCCTTCCTACTTCTGTCCCTTTGACATATCAGCTAACATGTGGCAGCAGTGAAAAGCTAATTATGCTACCTTTAGACTGAGACCGGCCTTTATTTAAAAAGGATCTTTCAAGTGCTGCATTCTAAAATAAATACCAAGGTCTGTCATGAAACTGCTCTGAAGCTGAACGCTTCTCATTTAGGGGTGTTTACGCTAACTTATCAAAGACTAGGGGGCCGGTGTGACAATACTATGCAGTATTGACATGAGATGAGACAGCTTAGCAAACGCTAGCAGGGCTGAGCGACTCAATCAATGATAACAGAGCACTAAGCTAATGCTAGAAGACACTTAGCTTATGCCTCATCTTCAAATAACCAGGGCATCTATGTTAGCTGCTAACGCTAAGCACGTTAGCTTCTGATGCTAACTGAAATGCTACATAACGGAGAGATGATCTGACTATAATAACATTCATGATTGACACATTCCCTCACTTGTGTGTTTCTGTACCTATGTGATGCTGGAGGCGTGTGAGGTTCAATCAGAACCCTTCAGAGACAACAGGAAGTTGAACCAGCATGAAATTAGTCATCAGGTTTTTCAGAAAAGGCCATAAACCAAACTAGGCATCTTCTTTTCTTCTCTAGAAACAATGATTTACATTATATCTAAATGTTTTGTTTTATTCAATTATTTGTCCTTTTATGGTTTTTAATCTTGTTCATTACTGGGAATATTTAACAATATTAATGAATGACAATGTACTCTTCTGACCATTAAAAAGGGCATGTCATCATCCAGTGTCAAATGCCCTGTTGATGGTCATGATGACATCTCGAGGTCACATGGTTGGGCGCGAGGTCACAATATGATGACATCATACAGAGTTCATAGAAGGCCGAGGCATTACAGCTCGTCATGTGGGTGAGCTGCTCAAACAGCCAGACTGACTGTTTTAACAAACCTAAGAGGTTGTTACTCAGCGAGTAGTTCTTATAGTCATTGTTGGGTTTCATAGAAGGTCTGCTCTTGTTTTACTTTATTGGACTTAACAGATATTTTGGTAGAAACAGTCCCAAAGCTTTCCAGCGTCTGGTCTGGGAGAAGACCTGAACCTGGGCAGAGAGGAACTACGAGTGCGTGTGGTGAACACGCGGGTCCAGACTCTACGTCCCCAGCCCGCTAATGGAGGCCGAGTGGTGCGTTCAGGGACACCCGGCTGACAGCAGAGCCTCGTAGTGCGCCTTCAGGGACGTCCAGGAGTAGGAGGAGGTGTCTACCTGCAGAGGAGAAGATCCAAAAATATCAACTGCAGTAAGTTATTTATGAGCTTAACATATAACAATAACATATTTGAATCATCTGTTATAGGAATTGAATGTATTGTGCATCTTTCACATTGTTCATTGTGTACACATGACATCATTGTAGTCTGTCCATCAGGAGACGGATCTCACTGAGGTGAAGGGGTTTCATTGTTGCCGATGTAAGGGTTTTGGGACGGATGATGTCACATGTGTACCGACTGTAAAGACTTTGCGATTTTGGGCTCTACAAAATATAATGAATTGAACATGTTGGGGGACATTAGGTACAGCGTGTTAGCTCCACTTAGCTTCTAGAGATAGGAGGTAACTCTGAGCTAACCGTTTCCCTGGCTCGTCCCGATGCATTATGGGAAGCGTAGTTACCTTGACGACGTGTCTTCGGACAATGTCTGGCCTCCTGCAGAGTCGCTGAAGCTGTTTAAAGAGCTGCTCAGGTGTGGAGTACAGGTACTCTGCTGCATTGGAGAGCAGTAAAGGAGAAAGTGACCCGGGGCGGAAGCTCTTTGGTGTCACTTAAAAAAGGAAATTGAATTACCTGGAAATATCTCTGGGTAGACTAAGGCCTTGGGACACAGCGGATAACATCCACAGTGGACGGCTTCCAGCCTGTAAAACATCACACACATCAGCTCACACAGCCTCTATTTCAATACGATGCTGATTAATTGAGGACTTTTCAGTCTTTGTGCTGAAAACATTCATGTCAGAAACAAGAGGAGGTTCAGGCTCATGTTCCCTCTGGTCTGGGTTATTGAGGTCAGACCTGAGGTCAAATCTGTCTCTCAGCAGAGCGCCGAGGGGGGCCGAGGGTCCCTCCTAGTTCTGGATCAAAGCCCAAACCAACATGACCCCCCCAAGGGACCACAATTCCTCTCCTCCATAATTAGCTCCTGCCTCCATTATCGCAGTGTGTCGTCTCTTATTAGAAAACTATTCTTTGATTCTTTGATTCTTCCATTCTTCAGACTCTACCTCCACTAAAACACTAACTATAACAGTTCTTAGCTACAGCAAGTTGTAAATTGGCTTAATTGAGGAAATCACACTTTCTTGTTTCTTGTTCTTCTTGGTTTGTGTCCTTATGGTTGAAATGCACTTATTGTAAGTCGCTTTGGATAAAAGCGTCACCTAAATGACATGTAATGTAATATTATTCATATTAATTAGGATTTGTTATTAAATCTTTATATTATTTATCTCATATGTGCAGAGTATTGTTTTGGTGCGCAGCTTCACATATAATAATACTGGAGCTACCAACATGAATCGGGTGCATATCTGAGATCAGTGCTGCCGGCCGGTGGGTTGGTTCACAGAGCGGAGCGTGTGATTGGCTGTTGGGCCTGCGGCTGCTGCAGAGTGATTGAAGTGTGAACACACCTGCAGGTTCCTACCAGGTCTCAGTAAAGACCACCTTGATGTGATGACATCACCGGTTAACAAAACATATTCAAGCTGCCGCTGAGGAGCAGAGTTCACGTATATTATGAATATACATCTTATATTATTAATTAAATATCTATAGATCTATATAGATATCTAGAGAACCAACCGGCTCGGCGTCACTCAGACTCACATGGCGACTCCAAAGAACTCATGGCGTGCGGTGGAGACGACTACGTCGGCCTGGAGCAGAACCTGCAGGTAAGCTCCCCTGGACAGGAAGCCCCAGTTCAGGATGTGGGGGTCCAGTCGGAGTCTGGCCTCTGAGAAGATCCCTGCAGAAGAAGAAAATGGAGGCATATAATGAAACTATTCATGCAAGGAAAAAGATGTTTCATTATTATTATTATTATGTATTTTTATTTTAGTTATTATCATCACTGTTTTAATGTCATTTTTTCATTTTTTATATTATTATTGGGATTTTTCAATCAATATTATGATTTAAATATTATGGCAATAATTCCATCTCTTTTGTAGTTTTACTTCTTATTATTTTAATTGTCAGCAAGTGGTGTTAGTCCTTTAAGTAGGATTGGAAGTAGGATGTTATAATAATATCAACAAGTAAAGGATGAGTTAAACAAGGAAAATGATATGTCATAAACCATAACTTAATAAAAATAATGTAAAAGTTTGTTCCGTCTGAAGATAGATAACGATAAAGCAGCCTGACGTTTGTGAATGTGGAACAGAAGAATAAAAGGTGACCGTTGACCCTAATCAATACTTTGACCCTATTAACTAAATAAGAGGCCATTCGAATGGGCCTAATGGGATTAAGTCCTCAGGCTCCCATAAAAAGAATCACACAATACGAATCTGGATTTACAGTCAGCGTGTTTATGAAGCTGTAAAACGTAACGGCTCAATATCTCAGAGTGTGTTCATTACCTAAACACCCACGCACACATTATAGCATCATCAGCTGATCATGCAGAGTGTTTTATCGATTAAAGCAGTCGACCTTCACATGTCGTACACACACACACACACACACACACACACGTATAGATGTGTGTACCTGGAACTTCACTGAATGTCTCTCCGAGCACCGACAGATTGAAGTTGACTTCTTTTTCTTTCAGTTTCATCAAAGTGGAGAAAAACAGTTCAGGATTTTTATCATGCTCCCTGAAACACACAACAGGTGTGTGTTTAAGTATGTTTTTAAACAGTTGTGTTAAAGATGGATACGTGTGTGTGTGTTCTCCACTCTTTGCTGTCCTGCTCCTAAATGGTGGAAGGAGGTCTCTGAAGACATCAGGACCACAGAGAGCCTTCACATCTTCAGACTAAAGACACACCTCTTCAGACTCTACCTCCACTAACACACTAACTAACTGTACCACTTACATTGGACTTATAATGGTCCTTATCTACAGCAGGTTGTAAATTAGCTTATTTGAGGAAATCACACTTTCTTGTTCCTCTGAGTTGGTGTCCTTGTGGTTGAAATGTACTTATTGTAAGTCGCTTTGGATAAAAGCGTCAGCTAAATGACATGTGATGGAATGCAATGTGATGTACTCCCATGCATGTATACACATATATGTATGGATGTATACATACATATATGAATACATACATCCACATACATACATAACGCCACTGGGTCCTAAATCGGTTGTTTTCTGATCATCTGATCCTAGTGGCACTGTTGGAGCCACATATACAAGCATATTATGTAATGTATTTGTATGAATGAAGTGAATCCCCTTGGCATATGAATGTACATCCATATGTCTGAAATGCTAACTTTCCTTGAGATTTATTAGATTGAGCTTTGGTTTCCTTTGCACTGAACAGTTCAGTACGTTATCCACACTAAAACTCATTTAATTATATTTTGGGGATGAAAAGAAACAAATATTTTGAATAAAGAATGTAAAGAGAATACAAATCTAGAGTAATCATTTGGAACAAACGTGTGAGTCCTGGGCACAGAAACAAGGAAACACTAAAGCAGCCCACCACAGTGACGTTGATTAATCTCGTTGAAACTCTCCTGGTGTCTTTTATTGTGAAGGTTCTGATATGAGATGAGTATGTGAAGCAGCAGTGTGTTTGTGTTGTACTTCTTCAGTGGTATCAGTGACTGCAGCAGCCACCATGTAATCTACTCGGACTGAGGAAAACACAGATGGATTATTGCTTTTATTCTGATAATCTTCTTGCCTGGTTTGTGTTTTAATCTGTGTGTGGCCTGGATCCTCAGATTACAGCTCGTCTTATTGCTGCTGCAGCTTCTGGGAGGTGGGGGTGGGGGGTGAACAGCTGTTTCAGGTGAAGCTGAAGGGGGGGGGGGGTGTTGACAGGTCCTGTGGCTCTGAAGCGTACATTATATTCAGATTTTTCCCTGCAAAGTGTATTTTACTGACATTATCTGTTTGATGAAACAGCACTTTCTTGTATCCTTATGGTTGAAATGTACTTATTGTAAGTCGCTTTGGATAAAAAAGTCAGCTAAATGACATGTGATGCAATGAGCCCTGTTTGCCACTGACCATGCTCAGTCCTTTTTATGCTAATGAGCTCTCTGCCCAGGAAACATCCTCACATTACTACCAGTCAAAATAATTATTCAATGCTTTTAATGTGAAAATTGTGCGGGAAGAACTTAGTTTATTGACAGCAATTTAACATCAGTAACAAACCAAACCACTATCATCAATGAATATATTGTATAAATAAATGGGACTCACCACCTGTGAGGCCACACAATGTGAAGAGGTTTCATCTGGTCTCCAGGGTCCTCCCTACTAACTGGTCTCTGGTCTGTTCTGGACTCGTGTAGATCCTCCTGGTGGTTCCCCGATGATGGAAACTCTCCACTAAACACAGATCAACACCAACAAAGCAACTTCAAAGTCTGAAGATTTGACCCGTTAGTGGTATACAGACTGAAGGGGGCGCTGCTCCATCTAAACCTGCTATACTGCCCCTTTAAAGGGTTCAGCCTGCTTAAACTGCAATCAACTGGATGTACTTATAGTAGCATAACAGAATATATATATATATATATATATATATATATATATATATACAAATAATAGTATAGTACACAAAAGCATTTATCCGTAAAGAGTATTGAGAGCAGTAGTGGTACATCATGCATTTCACCTTCCAATCGGAGCTTCATCAAGCTTCTCTTCCGGCCTGCTGACGACTTTGTATTCGACCCTCGGCCTGAAAACACACAAAAGAAAGTTTGACGTCATTAAAACATGGATTTAGTCCCCAAGGTCCCTGAACGCCTCGTCCCTACTAAAGCAGGAACTGCAGCTTCATCAATCCCCAAAACACTGATCTAAAAGAGAGGAATTGACCCGAGTCCCACTGAAGGTTCTGTCTCAGATCTGGATCCGGTGGACTGGAGGAGACTCAGCAGGTCATCCCAGCACAGATCCACATTAGATGGGCGACGGCGGCGCATGGAGTAGAGAGAGTGCGCCGGGAACTGCAGGGTTGGCCGTTTGAAACCTGGCTGCGCCATGTCCCATGGCAAGTGTCCCTGAGCAGGACACCTAACTGCTCCCCAGGCTACAGCTGCTCACAGCTCCCACTGTGTGGGACGGGTTAAACGCAGAGAACTATTTCCTGTTTGGGTAAAATAATACTTCCTGTTCTTATGAAACAGCTTGAAGATCTGAGGATCTCGTGTCTTCAAGCTGCTAGTTTGGTTAACCGTTTATTCCCATTCAACAATCTTGAACAAACTTTTACTTCCTGTTACTTTTAACCTCCCCCTGGTCCCAGGGTTACGCCCCCTTTCCCTTAAAAGGGTTCTCCTGCAGTACCCTATAGCTGACATACGCTCCTCCTTCTCTAACCCACCTCCTACTTCTCGCGTCGCACGGCCCTCGCCCCCTTTCGCCCATCACTTTTCTCTTTAACCTGCCCTCTCTTCCTAAACCAAATTCTTACCCTAATAAACCTCCTGCCTGTCCGAACCACCTGCCCTCCTTGACCCCATTCCATCACATCTTCTACAATCTATCGCACCTGACCTTCTTCCGTTCCTCACCTGTCTCATCAACAACGCTCTGTTATCTGGCTGTTTTCCCAATTCTCTGAAGGAGGCAAGAGTCAACCCCCTCCTGAAGAAACCCACCCTCAACCCTTCTGAAGAAAACAACTACAGACCAGTCTCTCTTCTTCCCTTTTTGTCCAAAACCCTTGAACGTGCTATCTTTAATCAACTCTCCTCTTATCTCCACTGTAACAACCTCCTTGACCCCTCGACGGCCGCACCTACCGGGTAACCTGGCGAGGATCTGTGTCGGAACCTTTTCCTCTTACTACTGGAGTTCCTCAGGGTTCCGTGCTGGGTCCCCTCCTGTTCTCGCTTTACACCAACTCTCTTGGCGCTGTCATTCGCTTGCATGGCTTCTCTTACCACAGCTATGCCGATGACACCCAACTAATTCTCTCCTTCCCTCACTCGGACACCCAGGTGGCGGCTCGGATCTCTGCCTGTCTAACTGACATCTGTCAGTGGATGTCCGCCCACCATCTGAAAATCAACCCCGACAAGACTGAACTACTTCTCTTTCCCAGAAAGGATTCGCTTACCCAGGACCTGACAGTCAACTTTGGAAACTCCGTACTAACGCCCACTTTGACCGCTAAGAACCTCGGCGTCACACTCGACAGCCAACTCTCCCTGACTCCCAACATCACCGCGACAACGCAAGTAGATGTAGATACACGCTCTACAACATCCGGAGAATACGTCCCCTTCTCACTCAGAAGGCAGCGCAGGTACTGATTCAGGCTCTTGTCATCTCCCGCCTGGACTACTGCAACTCCCTCCTGGCTGGTCTCCCTGCCACCGCCATTCAACCTCTGCAGCTCATTCAGAATGCAGCAGCTCGACTGGTCTTCAACCTTCCGAAATTCTCCCACACTACTCCACTCCTCCGCTCTCTTCACTGGCTACCGGTGGCCGCCCGCATCCAGTTCAAAACATTGGTGCTCACGTACCATGCTGTGAATGGATCGGGTCCAGCTTACATCCAGGACATGGTCAAACACTACATCCCAACCCGCACTCTCCGCTCTGCATCTGCAAAACTACTCGTCCCTTCCTCACTGAGAGCAAAACACTCGACTAGATCTCGACTCTTTGCTGTCCTTGCGCCGAAATGGTGGAACGAGCTCTCTGAAGACACCAGGACCGCAGAGAGCCTTCATATCTTCCGCCGCAAACTAAAGACACACCTCTTCAGACTCTACCTCGACTAAAGACTAACAAATTGTAGCACTTCAATTGTACTTGTAACGTCACTCATCTATAGCAAATTGTAAATTGGCTTATTTGAGGAAATTGCACTTTCTTGTTTCTTGTTCTCCTGAGTTTATACCCTATGGTTGAATGCACTTATTGTACGTCGCTTTGGATAAAAGCGTCCGCTAAATGACATGTAATGTAATGTACCCTACAAGTGGATTATTATAGCATAACTGCAGGTTATCCTCACGTCTGACCCTCACGTGAGCGGAGTCATAGCATTCTGGGTAATTGTCCCTTGTTTCCATGACAACAGTTTAGAACTAAGGTTCCCTCTGTCTAGCTGGAGATGTGTTCTGTCCATGAGCTATGAGAGTATATCAAACCAAACTCCAAACCCATCCAGGTGCGGCTGGATGGTGATATGCTGGCTGGGATACGTGTCTAAAGCTTCCTAGTGAACGGGGGGGGCTCTGATGATTTGTCCCCATCAGAATCAGGATTAATGTGATCCTCCTGATCACAAGCTGACCCCCAGCTGCACTCAGTCTTACCACAGAAGAAGAAAAGGCTCATAGGAGAAAGACAAACCTGCCAGTCCACATTGATGTGGTTTGACTCGGCGTGATGAATGAAGGTCTTAGTGAGCCTGCTCTCTGCCGGCTCAGTTCAATGGCTATTAAATTACAAATTAAGATGGATGGATGGATGGATGGATGGATGGATGGAGACTCCACCCCAAAGAACCGTCCTGATGGGTCCAACAACAAAGCTTGAGTTTGAGCCATTGAAGAAAGGAAAACTGAAGTTATATGTAAAAATATATAAAGAATCTTTATAGAAGAAGATGACCTCTGACATGAGGTCATCTTCTGATGACCTCATGTCAGATCTTACTTATTTAACTGACATAACAAATAATGACTATTGGTTTATCTTCAAAAATGAGTTAACATTATACTGTGATCTCATTGACCTGCTGACGTCAGGGAACTGGATCGGGTAGTACAGAACCACACACTTTGGCCGGATCAGCTGGTCCAGGTCTTTGGGTCGGTGGTCTGGAATCTTCTTCATGAAGGAGGAGATGGAGGAGAGGAAGGAGTCCATGTTGAAGATGGAGTTAAACACCACCACGTCTGACACCAGGCTGCAGCAAAACAGAATATAACAACAACAACAATAATAATAATAATAATAATAATAATAATAATAATAATACATTACATGTCATTTAGCTGACGCTTTTATCCAAAGTGATATACAATAAGTGCATTCAACCATACAAAAAAAGAAAAAGTGTAATTTCATCAAATGAGCCAATTTACAACTTGCTATAGATAAGAACCATTATAAGTCCAATGTAAGTGCTACAGTTAGTGTGTTAGTGGAGGTAGAGTCTGAAGAGGTGTGTCTTTAGTCTGTTTTGCGCTCAGTGAGGAGGAACAAGTGGTTTATCACATGCAGAGCGGAGAGTGCGGGTCGGGATGTCGGGTTGGACCAGGTCCTGGATGGAAGCTGGAAGAGCCTGAACATTTATTGATAGCGTGCCCGGGCCTGAGCACAGTGCGTCAAAGTATAGCCCCAGGAAATAGTAGTAGTTCAGATCATGGTCCCCAGACTTACTTTAAAGTCACATGTAATCACCAAATGTTATATATATATATATATATATATATATATATATAGGGCTCAAACGTAATGCAATGGCTACTCTTTTGAAAATCCATAGGATATAGAAATAGAAATCTGAACCTGCCCCGATTATGCACCTGAACCAACCCTACCTATTAACTTGATCCAGACCCAACTAGAAACCTCAGTCAGCCACAACTATAATATACATACTACCATACATATATATATATATATATATGTGCATATATATATATATATATATATATATATATATATGTGCATATATATACATATATATATATGTGTATATGTGTATATATACATATATATATGCATATATATATACATATATATGTGCATATATATACACATATATAGGGGCGCATATATATATATATATACACGTACATGTGCATATATGTATATAGATAGGTATGTATATATATATGCATGCATATATATATATGTATATATGTATATATATATATATATATATATATATATATATATATATATTATATATGTATATGTATATTATATATATATATATATATATTATATACATATTATATATATATATACATATATATATGTGCATATATAATATATATACATATATATACATATATATATGTGCATATATAATATATATACATATATATACATATATATGTGCATATAACACAAGCTATATTAAGGGCAAGCAGCTCTCTAGTGGGGTAATAGGTTCCTTAAGACAGTGGTGCCCAACCTTTTTTACCTCACGGACCGTTGGCTCTGTGTTTGCTGGTGGGCGAAACTGCCGTGCACGGTAAGAGGACAATTGTAAACGGGAAGAAAAACGCCTGGTGACGCGTGGGGAGTCTGTCAGAGGGACGAGCGCACATAATTAGGAGAAAATCCGGTCAATTTTCAAAATAAAACATTTTTCAGAAAAAAAAATTATATAAGCTTTCTGTGGTGCGGCCCGGCGGTTGGTGACCACTGCCTTAAGATATGATGGTATCTGATTATTTAGAGTAGAATAAAATTCTACTTAATCTGGATTTTAAAAGAAAGAAGTACAAGCACACTGCTGTAACTCTCCACCCCTCAGCTGCTACACTTGAATTAGTCTTTGGTGAGATGTAGACACACCTGGGTGGAGATCTGCTCTTCCCTGAGAGATTCTTTGCAGCTTTGATGCTAAACACTGACGCACTGAGCTTCAGGTGGCTTATCTGTGTCTCATCTTAATGAAATGAGTGCAGCATTGTGGCTTCAATCCAATCAGTCTCTTAATGATCAGCTGTTACTTAATGCTGCAGTAATGACATTAGTGGACTGAGACTTATCACATGCTGCCCTGCAGATCAACAACAATCGGTCTTCTGCTCTTTACTGTTAGTGAGATTAATGACAACTCAACTTACTTTAATCTCACAGAGCAGCACATCAGAAGAGCTCGTTAACCAATCATGAGTACTCGGACTTCCTCACTAAGGAAAAAACGTTTCACTCAGGACACCTAACTGTAAAGGTTCTCTTTTTATATATCGTAGTTTGAATATGATTGCATTTTGTCATTTATAGTACTTATGTGAGAAACCTCAAGCAGCAGTCACATCACAGAAGATCAGACTAACAGTAATACAGATTCCTCCATGAATGTAAGGTAGATGGATGGATGAGAGAATTGTTGAGTGGATGGATAGATGGGTGGGTGGACGGGATGGACAAATGAGTGGATGGATGGATGGATAGATAGATAGGGCGAGTGGGCGGGCGAAGGTGGCACATGGAGTAGAGAGGGAGCGCCAGGAACCGCGAGGTTGGCGTTTCGAACCCTGGCTGCTCCATGTCCCATGTCAAAGTGTCCCTCAGCAAGACACCTAACCCCTAATTGCTCGCTGGGCAAAATGTAAAAAACACCATGGGTTACAATTGTTAAAAACGTAAGTCGCTTAGGATAAAAGCATCAGTGTTACATGCCTGCAGAGCTTTTCTTGTGTGTTGTTCTGCCCCTCCCCCTTGTCTTGCAGGTGCTTCCCGGATCCAGAGGTAATGGAGGTGATGGGAGTCCACCTGTGCAGTTTGCCAGCTGCTGAGTGGCTCACACTTGCGCTTTCCAGCCAATGGCTGTCGTGGGCTGCACACAAAAGAGGCACACTCTGGGCGCTCAAGGAGGGGGCTGTCTCATTTGTAAAGATGTATTTGAATTGGGAAGACACTTGGTTGCAGGGGGAATTGACAATTAGGTGTAGTAAGGAGGTAGAGGGCATAGGTAAGTCGGGGGTACCCTGTACACTTTTGCACATAGGGTCTTTTCCTGTCTAGAAACACCAGGTTTAGTGGTTGTTGCCCCCCCCTGTATGTTTTGTAAACTGCTGTTTGTAGGTAACTCAGTCAGCCTTTTGTTTTGTTGCGTTTTCAGAAGTCAGATTTAGTTAGGCCTAGTTTTGGTTTATTAATTTTTGATTATTTGGCACAACTTTATTGTCCCTACCTCCACCATATTTGTGAATCTTCAGTTGTCCGTTAATAAACAGTTAATTTATGAAAATCACTTTGACTCTGTTTAATTTGGTTGTTGTTACAGTTACTGTCAGCTAAATGACATGTAATGTAATGTAATGTAATGAATAGATGGGTGGACAGATGGAAGGGGGAAAGGGCAAGTGGATGAAAGGATGGATGGTAGATGGGTGGGAGGATGGAGGGTGGATGAAAGGATGGATGGTAGATGGATGGTAGATGGTTGGGAGGATGGAGGGTAGATGGGTGGGAGGATGGAGGGTAGATGGTTGGGAGGATGGATGGTAGATGGGTGGGAGGATGGAGGGTAGATGGGTGGGAGGATGGAGGGTAGATGGGTGGGAGGATGGAGGGTAGATGGGTGGGAGGATGGAGGATAGATGGTTGGGAGGATGAACCCACTCACACACATCGTTATTAGTATTTACCATGAGAGGACCTGGTTGTATCCGTACTGGAAGTCTCTCTCCTGGTCTTTGCGGACCGGATAAACCAGCTGGTTCTCGTGGAAGTACAGCACCTTCTTTAGGTGAGCCAGATCTGGTCTGAGGGCCACCAGCTCACACAGGTTGAGGACTGAACTGCTGAACAGGACTCTGGAGGGATAGATCACACAAATAATAAAACATAATAGTGTACCAGGAAGCAGGACTTTCGTGATAATCAATATATTCACACAATATATAGAAATGAGCGCAATCATTTTTCCTGCTGCAATATATTACATTCATTTTTACATAAAAATAAATAAAAATTAAAGTCCTCAACATTTTAGTCGATGGCGCTGCCTTGGTTCACTTGCCTTTCTTTGTCTAACGCGGAGGCGGGGCTTAAGCCCCCGCTCCTCGCACTTATTAGGGCCTGGGCCAACTGCAAGTCGGGCGAAGAATCATTCTTATTATTTTACCAATTCAATCACACTTTTGAGGCCTTTATCATATTCAAAAACGCTTGCATTTTGGCGTACCCATCAGAAGTGCGAAAAATGTTGATATTTTATCCTAATTTTTCCAGAATATTTGAACATTAGCAGTCATTCTCTGAATTTTTGCTTGTTTTTTTTCAATTTCCATCTTATTTTGGATTTACAAACTAAGAGCTTTAACCCGATAGTGCCACCTATTGACAAAGGAAAATGCAATCAATACTTCTCTATGGAGAAGACCTGTGATTAGCTGACTGAATGAGGCTATCCTACCTATTTTAGTGACTTTTTGCAGGTCTTTGTACAGCAAGGCAAGTAGCCCAGTGGTGAGGTATTCTGTTCACGAAGCCAGACTCGGGTTGGAATCCCACACTGCACTGATTATCTTGTCTTTTTTTGTCTTTTTGACCACGTGTCCGGCTGACCGCCGATTCTAATGTCTAAATATTCTGAACAATAAAATGTTCTTTGTTCTTTGAAAGAGCGTACTTGTGTTATTTGCTATTGCATTGTCATTATGTAATCCGTTGCATTAAATGGTCCAACAATTACATTTATATCGTTTATCGCAATTCATTTTAGTGCAATATATGGCACAACAAAAAATTGTTATTGTGGCAGCCTTAAGCAGGACTTCCTGATACCTTTAACTCTGAAGTACTCTAGTTCTCATCTATCTGATACCAGTTTACAACTCATTAATTATGTAACATCTCTTACCTTTTCACTTAATTAGCTTTGTCAGCATGGTTCGTAGGTGGGTTTAGCATCATCTCATTGTTTTGATAACCTCTGGTAGCCGGATTCGAACTCAACATAAAGGCAGGTCTGGCTCAGATTCAACTTTATTATGATTGCACACAAGTACGGACAACCACAAGCAGTTTAGCATCTGACCACAAGTGCACAGAAAGGGATCTTCAGTCCAAAGTCCAACGCATAGATAATATACAGTGGATATGTATGAATATATATATATATATAAACACTTGTTAGGGTACCTGTGTGAGGGGCAGATGGGGAGGGGATAAGGGCTGTAAACGTAGTTGGGGTACCTGTGTGAGGGGCAGATGGGGAGGGGATAAGGGCTGTAAACGTGGTTGAGGTACCTGTGTGAGGGGCAGATGGGGAGGGGATAAGGGCTGTAAACGTGGTTGGGGTACCTGTGTGAGGGGCAGATGGGGAGGGGATAAGGGCTGTAAACGTAGTTGGGGTACCTGTGTGAGGGGCAGATGGGGAGGGGATAAGGGCTGTAAACGTGGTTGAGGTACCTGTGTGAGGGGCAGATGGGGAGGGGATAAGGGCTGTAAACGTGGTTGGGGTACCTGTGTGAGGGGCAGATGGGGAGGGTCTGGCTGAAGTGCAGCCGCTGCCGTTCGGGCCCTCCAGTGCCATTTCTTGGCGGGCAGCGTGAAGACGGAGCAGCCGCTGATGTTCTGCTGAAGCAGGTCGATCAGTTGCTTGTGAGAGCCGCCGTAGAACGGTTCCACCAGCAGAACCCTAGGACCCTGAGAGAGAGGAGACAGGTATTCATTATTTTACTGTTCAATATTAACTGATCTGTAAGTGTAAAGGACTTTCTGTTCTGACATGCCTCTTTCGTGAAAACAATGTGGTTGAACTTTTTTTGTATACGATATATTTCTGTACAGAAACATGTTTAGCTGCAGCAGTACAAGATAGTAATGAGTAACAAGAGTCGACATGCCGTGTCTGTTCGTGTTATATTTACTTGGTCAGAGCTTCTGTTGCCACTTTTTGAAATGACGGAGGAACTAGTTTAAACAAAAGATAAATACTACAAACAGTAAACTGCCAGATCGTGCATATTTATGACATGAACAGATTTCTTAGAATAAACAGATGAATTAAAGGCTTTGACTAAATCAAACTTTCTGAGAAAAGACGGAATAAAATAAATGTTTTATTAATATTCATACTAATCTTGTTTGTTGTTAATGAGGTTATACGACAATATAAAATCATAAACGGTCATTTAGTTCACAGAATATTATTCTATTTTATGCAACAAAAATAAAATGTCAGAAATGCAGAAATGATTGTGTTCCATAGAAAAGGGAATGTATGGGGTGGTAAATTGCTGATATGTCAACATCTGACCCTGTGGTTCCCAACCTGAGGGGCAGGACCCCTAAGGGGTCTGCAGATAACAAATATGAACGTTGATTCCAATGTGCAGATGGAGGAAGAGTAGCTGAGAGATGGAAAGCTATTGTTGCAGAAATTTAACTCTCCCGCAACAAACCACAATGAATGAGGGAGTCCATCATGGCGTCAGGAGGTGGTGTACATCTTTCTGTCTGCGTCCATTTAGCGGCAACAAAGGGAGCTAATGAGCGCTAACACGTAGACCGGGCCCACAGTTCATATCTGCTATTCCCATCAGCCTGAGGAAATAAGCTGCCGGGGCGAGGGAGTCACAGCGGAGGGGGATTGTCTCCATTGTGCTCGGACATTCCTACTTCCCCAATGATGCCAGTGGCCTCAGCAGGTCCTCCTGGGACTCTCTGATCAACATAGGACCCCTCAGAGGGTCCTGAACCACAGGTCGAACACATTTCACCAGCTCATATATGCCTTTCCTGCACGTCCTCGCCGTTTGTCTCAGCTGGGTCCGTGTCCCAAAGCGGCGGCTCTAAGAAGCAGTTAGCCAACCACTGGAAGTTAATGAGTGACATCATCATTTCAGCGTCCTACAATACAGTGAGATTCTGGCTCATAAACTCTGTCACGTCGCCGTGTTAAAGTTAATATCGCTACCCAGCTGCGACACACAGGACACAATAATATATTCATTAATATACTGAATTGTTTGAATTAGATGCCCTGATTATGTTAAACTGTTGGTTAAATATTTAACTGCAAGGTAATAATGCGTGTTTGATACCTTTTTTTGCATTGAATCATTACTGAAAATGATTGGCTGGCCCTAGAACTACAGTTATACATAACTAACAACATACAGAAGTATCACATACATGTATTAAAGTATTACTCATTATATAGCATCACATAACAAATATACTAACAAGTATTACTAACAATATATTGTATTACTACTAACATTAATCTGTAGTGCAGTATACTTTGTTTTCACACAGTACACAGTTTAATGTACATCTAACTCAACACTGTCCTCAACTAAACTAAAAGTACATCTAGGCGCTGAAGTAAAAGTACATCAATATTAGTTGTATTTAACGTTAACTACAGGTCGCGTTCAGTTTGCTGTGTTTAGCTCCGTTAGCTTTCTTGCTAACGTTAGCTTTTAGCTACTAGCTGCGTTAGCTGTCAGCTCTGTAGACCAATCGGAGAGCAGAACAGCTAACCGCTAACTAGCCAACCACGGCCCCTCCAGGCAGCTCTGTTCCGGTAGTTCACACAGCAGAAGCCGGAGCACCGGGTCCTCCACGGACGGCTCATTGCACAGGAACGGGGACTCACCTCTGACTGCATCGACCCAGCGTCTGCAGCGACAAACACCCCACGTCACCACGTCACTACTTCACCCGAGGGTGAGTGTGACGTCACCCAATATCAGCCAGTCGCTGACATCCCTTATGTTTATCTTGTGAATTTAATCAAATTCAGTATCGCAAATGACACATTCTCCACAGAGAACTTGACCATTCATTCTCATGTGTCCATTTAACGAAGCGCAGCATTTCACAGAAGTCTGGCCGAGAACAGGCTGCTCTCTGCGGCGTGAGATGAGACCAACCGACCGCAGAAGTGTTGCTTGAACAACTAACTTCTCGTCTGAAAATGTCCTAAAATGACATGCCGTGACTTAAAATATGGTAGTATTTATGAACTTGGACCTACACATATAAAGGAAGGGCGTAAGATCGGCGCTTTGAAAACCTGCCCTCGTTGCTTTAACTGTGAGATTTCATGTATACACACTAGTGAGTGTTTCAGATAGATACGTATAAATGTTTCACTTAAATGCATTTTTTAAACTAACCCATAGCCTTACATTTTAAGACATAGCCTTATATTTTATTTTATTCCTCTTGCACTATGTTGTCTTATCTGTCTTGTTGTCCATTGTCTTAACTGTATGTATGTCTAACATATTTTGGTAATAAATGTTTTCATTAGTGTGCAATATTAACTTTGATGTCTACGAAGTTAAAGTTGTGTCAAAAGAGTCCCTTTAGAAAACCTCTCATCTAATCTTTAAGAGTTCAACTGGATCGGAGAGAAAAGAAACTCGGGTTAGCTTTAAGCAGACACCATCATCATCACTGAAGGTGTGTATGTGTGTCAATGAATCAAACAGAAGTACAAGAAGAATAACATGGTTTTATTACAATTTAATTTGGCTACATTTATTCGAGCATGATCATTTCCAAAGAAATTAAAAATTCAATAATAATACTTAAGACATTATCGTCATCGTCATTCGTCCTTCTTAGTGGGATGAATAATGTGGATTTAACTCTCAGAAATACAGTGTTTACACAATAATCATTGTATCAAAAGTTCACCAAATTCTCCAAATTTAGAATGTCCAGTAGTTTCAAAGAAAAACAAGCAAAAGACAAAAAGTAAGACAGAACAAAATAATTGAAATGTTCTAAACAGCATAAACGCTCTACTCATTTTTTTGCTCCAATAGTCAATGATAGAATATTGTTTATTAAAATATATCTATTTGTGAGGAACTAATACTGTACACTACAGTATGGAATAAATACAATTAGGAATTATAAAATGACCCACATAAATAAAATGGTAAATTCTCAAATAAGAATCTCAGAAAGGAAATTTATGTTGGAAAATTCAACAAAAACAAAAAATACTGAGGAACAAACAAGTAGAGAAAATTGCACAAACATATGTAAACTAGCAACCTGCGGTCTACCTACGCCAACACTGGCAAATGAGAGCGTGCCGTAGGGGCGTTAACACTGAAGAGAGGGATGGCACTTTGCAGAATGACAGGTGAAAAGGTTTGAATATAAGGCTTTCTGGAGAAACAAGTCAACACACAAAGGCTCCGTCCTTTTTTATCTTCATTACAATAAGCTCCTTCCTATTATTTTTAAGACTTATAGCAACATTTTATTTTGAAAATCCTAGGTTCAATTGTTCCTTCACAAATACCAAAAGAAATCTTTAGGAACCGGTTCAAAATAAAAAATGTCAAAGTAAAAGACACAAAGTACAACAATAACACTGACAGGACGTGGTCGCGTGTTCAAGGCTTTTTCCCATATTTTTTTAATTCCTTTTTTTCGTTGTAGTGATTAGAGGATTTGAGAAGTGCAATTTTCCTGATGCAGGGTTTCAAACACAACGAGACACAGGAAGTTAAGGACATTATAGCACCACACAGCGTTTAGGCGTTTAAAATACTGTACATTAAAAACAGCTTCAACAGTAATTCATCTTCAATAATTACTTATTCTTTTATTTTTGCATAATGTGGCTTTTTAAACAATTCCACCAGCATGGCGTCATGCTCCGTCTTCGGTCGAGGACTGAACACAGATCATTTGAAGGTGAACTTGATGTTTTATATTTATCAGTTTCTTTGTTATTTGACTAACAACCTTAATGTGTAAATTAATAGGAATCAAAGTTGTTTCACATTTGACATTTTTGTAATGAGATGTATATCTTATAAAAACCTTTTAAAGAAGCAGCGTCATCATTTATGTGCGTTTTTCTTCCCTAATCATATGGGTAGTTGATCAACCACTGTAGCTGGAGAGCTAACCGCTGACTTGTTTGCCAGGCACATGCTCGCACAGTTAGCAGCATGTTTAGCATCTGACCATCTCACTCAAAACTAGCAGTGGGAAATATAAATGTGTTTTACAGGATTTTCCATCTTTAGTTGAGACTAAATTCAGTTGTGCTGCTAATAAATGTTAGTATTAGCTAAGTAGCTGTAATTCGCAAGCAGGCTGTAATTAGCAAGCAGGCTAATGGTAGAAATATGCTTTTAGGGTTCAGCTTGTATAGAAGATGTTTGGACACATTGTAGGAGACATTATGTACACATGGCATCCATTGCATTATGTTCATCCCAGGAGAAAGATGGACAGAATGATGTTCTCCTTAAGGTTTCATTTCTTTGGGTTAGGGTGTAAAGAGAGTGTAAAGGTTTCAGGACAGGGGATGTCGCATGTATACAGACTGTAAAGCCATATAAGGCAAAATTTGGAACTTACAATTTTGGACTATATAAAATAAAATTAATTAAATTCAAATAAATTGTAAGGTTTGGACAAATTGGAAAAGATACATTGTTAAATTTGGACATGTTGTAGGAAAAATTATCTGGACATTTTGTACGATTCATTGTTGAGACACGTTGCAGGAGACATTGTTACTGTTGTACATGTTGTAAAATACAATGTTTAGACCTGTAGTGGACAAGTTTCAACCCATTCAAGGTGACATTGGTTAAGTTTGGACACCTTGTAGGAGCCATTATTAAGGTTAGACCCGTTGTAGGAGACATTGTTACATTTGGACATGTTGTAGGAAACATTATCTGGACATTTTGTAGGAGTCATCGTTAAGTTTGGACACGTTGTATAAGACGTTGTTTCGACAGGTCGGTTGCTCAGCCGGATGTGGACGTGCTGCCCTGACAGGGAACAGGATTGAAACACCTTTGTGATGCTTTTTTTAAATAAACCTCAGTAACATGTCTTCGGCCCTTCCAAATAAAAGCAGTTTTTGAGAAACAGGACAAACCGATTGTTGGTGAGCGTCTGTGTCTCTGCTTCAGTCCTCCTGGTGTGGCTTTCTGTCTGTCTTCCCTTTTTGTGAGCTCTGCTCCATCAGCTGTATCCTGTCTTCGCTCTCGTTGTCCCTCGTTGAGTCCATCTGGTTCCCACTGTGTTCTTCTTCCTCCACTTCCTCTTCTTCCGTGAAACCGGCCTCCCGTCTGTCTGTCACCTCCTCGTACATCTTATCGTCTTCCCTCTCCTCCCGTTCTCCGTCCTCGCTGCCGTCCCTCAGAATCGTCCCACCGTCCTCCTGCTGGTCCTCAGGATCAGAGTACCCCAGCGGGCCGAGCCCCTGTAAGAAGGTCCTCTTCATCAGCAACTCGGTGGGCTCCTCCTCCAGACCTCCTCCTTGTCCTCCCTTGTCCCTTGCCTCCCTCTCAGCTGCCTCACGCTCCTCGGCCTCCCTCTTGCAGTACGAGTAGCGGTGGTTCATGTGCTGCGAGTACGAGCCCGAATGGGAGAAGCGCTTGCCGCACTTGTCACACTGGTAGGGTTTCTCTCCGGAGTGCAGGCGCGAATGCTCAATGAGGTGGTGCTTGTGCTTGAAGGCCTTCTTACAGATCTGACACTGGTGAGGACGCTTCCCTGCAGACAGATAACAGACAGCAGATGAAGAGTGAGGATGCTGGAAGACCAATCAGCGGAATACTTTTTTCTTTTATTCATTCATCGGTGGAATTTAGCTAAATTCTGTTTTTTGTGAGTGATTTTCTCTGAATTTGAATATTGTGACATTTAATAAAACAACAAAGATATAAATAGAACTTAAGATGTGAGTCTGACAAAACATGATGACTGAAGTGTTTCAGTCTGTCGAGGTGCTGCCTTTGATATACAAATCAAGTGTATATTCCTGCACGTCAGTGTACGTTTAGATATCAATTTTCACAAATGTAATAGATAATTCAGAAGTGTGTTTTACTTAGTGTATGGCACCAAATTTAAACCTGAAGAGGAGCATTTGTAACACACAGACACACACAAACACACACCTTTGACTCAAAACAGGGTTCAGGCTGCTGCAGACCACCAACCCCCCCCACCACACCCAAACACACACGCGCACACTAACACACATGCAGGCAGATCATAGCCACAAATAGACCTGGAATGTTTGTGACATCACCCATCGCTGGCATAGTTCATTGTAACCCCCCCACACACACACAAACATAAACACATACACATGCTACACACATAGCAAAATTAACCGAGCCGGCCCATTCTTGTTGGAAATGAGGGGGGAGTGCTGTGAACGAGCCGTGATGCAACAGACTGCAAGAGACGGTAGTGGAACAGCTCTCAGCTCGTTACCCGGGTAATGGTAACAGCAGCGGCTCATCTTACTTTATTTCAAAAACATCAAAGTAATCTTTGTTATTTTAATGCAGCAAAGCAAACCAGAGAAGATCAAAAAATGATTTGATAGTGAAGTGCAATATTCTTCTCCATCATAACCCAGGACCTCAAGTGGGAGCTAAACATCAGCTCCATCACCAAGAAGGCTCAGCAGAGGTTGTTTTTCCTGAGGCAGCTGAAGAAATTCAACCTGCCAAAGATATTGATCTAGTAATCTGCAAAAAAATGTTTTTTACAAATCTTCGAATAGGAAGCTTCGTTATTATTAGTCATTATTTTAATGCAGCAAAGCAAACAAGAGAAGATCAAAAAAGGATTTGATACAAAGTGACATCTTCTTTGTGTCGTTTGTCAAGGTTCATAAAGGAAGTTCAGATCTATGAAAAAGGTTCAGGTTCATGAAGGAGGTCCAGGTCTATAAAGACTGTTTAAGTCTATAAAGGAGGTTCAGAATCATAAAGGATGTTCAGGTCTATAAAGAAGGTCCAGGTTCATAATGCGGTCCATGTTCATAAAGGAGGTCCAAGTCTATCAAGGTGGTTCAGGTCTATAATGGAGGTCCATCTGTGGTAGGGATGAGTCCTCCTACAGGTTGACGATTGACCAACTGGTGACGTGGTGCAGCCAAAACAACTTAGAGCTCATTACTCTAAAGACAGTGTAGATGGTTGTGGATTTCCAAAGGAACGTGTCCCTTCCTTCCCCCATCATCCTGTGTGACTCCCCCGTCACCACTGTGGATTCCTTCCGTTTCCTGGGCTCCATCATCACCCAGGACCTCAAGTGGGGGCTGAACATCAGCTCCATCACCAAGAAGGCTCAGCAGAGGTTGTTCTTCCTGAGGCAGCTGAAGAAATTCAACCTGCCAAAGACGATGATGGTCCACTTCTACACGGCCATCATGGAGTCCATCCTCTGCTCCTCCATCACCGTCTGGTACGCTGCAGCCACAGCCAAGGACAAGGGCAGGCTGCAGCGTGTCATTCGCTCCGCAGAGAGGGTGATCGGCTGCAATCTGCCGTCCCTGCAGGACTTGTTCGCTTCCAGGACTCTGAGGCGAGCTAAAAAGATGGTAGCCGACCCCTCTCACCCCGGACAAAAACTGTTTCTGTCCCTTCCATCTGGCAGGAGGCTGAGGTCCATCAGGACTAAGACCTCCCGCCACAGAAACACTTTTTTTACGCCAGCAGTTGGTTTCATAAACCAAGTACATGTCCCCCATTGACCCAATACTCTATCCCGGAAACATTTTGCACAGTGGTTTCTCTCACCATGGAAATATATGGATATATTCTTGTATATTTTTATCTTATTTTACTTTATCTTATTTAATATCTTATTTAACTTTAATCTATTTTATTCTTATATTTCACCAATTCACCAAGTCAAATTCCTTTATGTGTAGCATATTTGACATTAAATGGCTTCTGATTCTGATTCAGGTCTGTAAAGGAGTTCCAGGCTAATTTGTGGAGAAACTTATCTTAGGACCGTCTGAATGAGACCTTCATAACACTGTTATTCATACCACACAATATGAAAAAACGGTCAGTCCCTCTGCAGTAATTAATATTTCCTTTTGAAATTCAGAGCTGACACATAATGCACCCCCCCCCCCCACCCACCTACACAACAACACAAAAACATCTCAGCATGAAATGATGCCAATCCCCTGCTGTGAAGAAAGGAGCATGTTAAAGTCCACAGAAATCACAGATAGGAGACAAAGGGAGCTAAGTGAGCCAATGAGGGGAAAGGAGACAAAAGGACTAGTGGGGTGGCTAAGTGAGCCAATCCAAAACAAAGAGGAGAGGAGGAAACCAAAAAGATGGAGAGGGCACAGGGGTAAATAAAAGAAGTGTCCAAATGTTATATATACCTGTGTGCTCATATTTGTGTCTTAGGAGGGAACTGGTCTTCTGGAATGTTTTGTCGCACAAGTCACACGCGTACATACCACTTTCAGTCTTCTTCATCTTCTTCCTGCACAGCAGCGATTCGCTGTCTGTGAGGTCGTCCAGGCCCGACAGATAGTCCACTGTGGCATCCAGCAGCTCACCCTGCACAAAGAGAGAGCTTCAGGAGGTCTGCTAATCCCACACCTGTCGGCCACGGGCCCAGACACACCTCCTGCTCAGACCCCTATGATCCGAAGTCTGGACAGGGCTTAAAGGCCCAACCTGGGTAAATCCCCTTCATCCAGGAAACACTTAGGAAATGTGGACATATGGGACAAGGAAGTTCTGAGCAAAGAGGCAGGGTTGTTTTCGGGAACAACTTGCGGCCATTCAAACAAGAACCAAGTTCTAACATCTCATTAAAACCACCTTAGTTCTCATGAGTGAGTTATCCTTTAACTTCTCCCTCCTTATTGCATATGTTCAAGTGCACATTTTGTTCAACGCTGTGGGCTTAAGGAAGTTGATGTAGGGTTAAGGCTTCTAAATACGTTCACTCATCTACAATCCCTACAGTGAACAGCTTCTAATAGGCTGTGACTAATGGTTTGGAGATCAATGTTGCACCACCTCTCTCTTCATTTATATTTGAGGACTTGTAAAGTATCACAGACAACATGGAGATCACTGATTTTACCTGGAAACCTTGTTTCCGCTGGTACTTTCTCTTCTGCTGCATTTCAACGCATGTGGCAGCCTCGTTGGCGTAGGTGTAGGCCATGTGGGGCAGGAAGCTGATTGGGTCCAGGCCAGGGTAGGACCTGAGGCCCGCGATGGAGGCCCGGGGAGCAGACATGAAGGTGGGAGGAGGAAAGGCCCCGTGAGGTGGCAGAGAGGTGTAGACGTGACCGCCAGAAAAGGGATTGATCCCAAAGATGGGACTGGTGCTCTTCTCCATGTGGTGGATGGAGTTTCCTCCACCATCGGAGTTCTTGATGTTGATCAAATCCATTGGCCTGGAGACCTGTTCCCGTCCGAGCACCTTGCCACCGCGCTCTATGTTGAAACCGTTTGGCCTATGGTGCTTCTCCCGTACAGCCATTAGCTTCTGGGCCATGTGTTTGGGAAGCGACAGATCCAGTGGTGAATCCTTGTGTGCCTCCTCAGAAGCTAGGCTGTTGGGAGTGTAACAGCTGCTCTGAGAGTTCTTGGAGGAAGCAGAGGAAAGGTTGAGGGGTGAAGGAGTGTTGCTCCTCAAGTGGTCTAAGGGGTTTAGTGGTTTGTCGGCTGTTGTCTGCCGGTTGCCTGTCAACTTGATGGCCTTTGTAAGTCTGTGGGAAGCGTCGCCGTTAGCGAATCCTTGGTGTGAATCTACGGTCTGAATGGTCTTTGATGTCCGGCTCAAGCTGTGGTTAACAAACAAGCCGCTGCTGAGTGGAGGAGGCGACTTCTTCCTCAGACTAGCTCCGTGGTGGTTCCGGCTCTTCCACTGGACAAACCACTCCTTGACAAACTCCTGAGGAAGGCCGACCGCAATTGAGATCTTGAGCAATTCCTCTGAGTTGGGGTCAGTGTTTATGGTAGAGTAGGCCTTGAGCACCGACACGTGTTCCTTGAAAGGGTTGAGGGGGCTGGTGGCCCGCTCATTAGAGCACCGCTCGCTGGGCACCGCCCCCTTGCCGTTTGTTGGCTGCAGGACCGCTTTGATCTCCTCGTTCATTTTGCACAGGTAGCGCTCATGCTGATGCAGAGGGATTGGACCTGCAAAGGTCTCCATGCAGTACTGGCAGGAGAAGGGGAGGAACTGGTTTTGGTCATTGTGAGATTTCTCCTCCCCTCTGAGATCAGTGGAGTGGTTTGACCTCTCCTTTTTGATGTCCGCCTGCCTCTTGGAGTCGTCGATCAGATTCTTGGCCTCGTTAACCTTCTCAAGCGTGTAGTCGATAATGCTCTTTGTAGGGCTGCCGTTGCCCACAGCCTGAAAACCAGCCTGGACCAGCCTCTGCTCCTCCATCTGGGCCCCCAACTCCTTCATGTAGGCCCTGAGCTTGGAGATCTCCTCCGGGTTCCCATCCACCTTCTGCCTGCACGCTGTGTTGTCCACAATCTGAAGCACCTTCTGCACCTCACTAAGGTTGTTCGCAAAGGACCCCGATAAACCCAGCAAGGGAAGCTCCAGCCCCAGGCCTCCGAGGTGTTGAAGGGGGCTCTGGGAGGAGCTGTGGATGCCCATGGGGCTTCCCCCACGACTGCTCAGGTAGATCCCTGATCCCCCAAACCCGTGCTGAGCAGCCATCAGCAGCCGATACTCGCTGAAGTCCATCGGCTCAGCTTTGATGTCCAGTTGACCCTGTTGTTCTGGAGGGCTAAGCAGGTGCCCATTTTCCAGTTTCTGGCGGAGCTGTGCGAAGGCGGGGCTTCCTGGCGACGAGGTTGTTGAATTAGGGGACGAACCGGGTTTGTTCCTGTTGCGCAGTCGTCCGTTTACAGCGACCAAGCTGATGCATTTCTTGCTGCTGATGTGTGAGCTGTAGGAGCCGGAGTGGGAGAACCGCTTTTTACAGTTCGAGCACTCGTAAGGCTTCTCACCTGCAAAACAACACCAAAAGGCTTAGATTCTGATTCTACCTTCGAATGATACAGCTTTAGCTTGTGGTTCAGGATAACATCTGGATGTAATTAGACGGGCCAACATCACGTTTAGCCCTGTTAGCATGTAAGCAGCTGTACGTATTCTAATGTGAGTCCGGCCACATAAGTATTATTACTATACAATATTTCATGTTATTCTGCGGGAATTATTTGAACAAAATTAAGAATATTGAAGAAAATGTTAAGATTAATGAAGGAATGGTTGTTTGATGTGTGCTGATCTTTGAGCAGGCGCTCGGATATGAATCAGATGATGAGCCATTCAGCAGAAAAGTTGACTCACCGCTGTGAATACGCAGATGCTCCTTCAGGTGGTGTTTGTACTTGAAAGCTTTTCCACACTCGCTGCATTTGAATTTGCGGTTTCCAGCGGTGTCGCTGACCTGCGACTGTAGACAGAGCGACAGACGAACAGGACAGGAGGAAGAGGGACAGAAGAGATTAAGGTGATGAAGGAGGATGAGGGACCGAAGAGAGCGAGGCGGATCTGATGAAGACTGAAGACTCAAAGATCCTCACATCTCAACCCAGTCTCACAGCAAAACGTGTAATAGCTACATTGTGGACCAACGTGGTGTTGTCACGCTTTTTGGGAAGAAAGCGTGACAACACAAAGTTTGATTTGCAACTAGGTCACGTGACTATCAACTTTCCCTCAGCTAAAAAAAAAGAAAATGGCCGACTGTCGGTCTATTATCTGTGAAAAACACAATATTTTAAGAAAGAATCAGCATTTGTATGCATTTTGATTTTCATTTCTAGTGAGAAGTATGCGTTATATTTTCATAATCTTCTATCAGAGAATGTAGAAGACCTTCATTTATTAGTTTCTAGTGACGTAGTTGCAAGGCAATGTAAATGAATTGGCCAAAATAAAATGTAGTATTGTCACGATTTTGGGGAGAAAGCGTAAGAATACCACGTTGGTCCACAACGTAGCTATTACACGTTTTGCTGTGAGACTGGGTTGCACATCCTCATCCTCAGAAACATGTGGGCTGTTGAGAGGAAACGATTTCTCATGTTGCTGCACATTCCCCACACAAGAAAAGAGGGAGATAAACTCAGCCAATGGGGGGGTGGGGGGTGGGACATTCAATTCAATTCCATTAAATTCATTTTAGTTTGTATTGCCCAAAATAAAAAAATACTAATTTGCCTCAGAGGGCTTTACAGTGTTTCACAGGAAATACATAATCGAAAAAAGTGGGGGGAAAATGACAGTAGTAAGCCATGCGTACGGCAGGACCACTGAAGGGACAACCACCATCAGATATAACAGACAAATTTAATGAGAAAGTGTATCCAAACCTTGGACTGGTACTATATAGCTGCACTACATATTTGTATAGCCTATTATAGCTGAGGCAATTCACACTTTTATGTATTATTGTTGTTACCAGTTCTTCATGTATGAATGGACCTCTTAATAATTGTCTTATTTGAGATGAGAAGGAATCAGCGTTTCACAGTGGATTGTAGACTCTAAAAAGAACATTTAAACATGACTTAATGATAATAAAGTGACGTGGTGGATTGTTCGTCTCTCTTTAAGGGTTTAACCCACTGGATGTACACAAATAAAGGAGCACTTAAAGGCATTTGGGGATTAAGATTGTTGAGGGAAACGACCATCTGCTGCCTGATTGAGGGAGTTGGGGCGGTGTGGGGGCACAGGTATGAGGAGTTCCTCTCTGAAGCTGATCTGAGGTATGAAGCTGAGGAGATTGAAGCTTAGATCATGAGGGGTTTAAATAGATTACTTATTAAATAGTTAGCTAACTCTGGGTTTTTAGGATAATGAAATTGAGTTGTGGAGCAGCAGTGTGATGAGCGAGAGCATTAAAAAGCCTCCTTCCATCCAGCACCTCGTCTGTGTGAGGCTCCTCAGCTCTGGTTCTGCAGACTAACCAGAGGAACTCACTCGACATTGAGATGACCTCATCTAGCCTTCTCAAGGAGAACTCAGGAGCAAAAAGCATTCCAAGCTCTCCGAGAATTCATTCTTCTTACATCATTTGAGTCATTTTTAAACTACTTATCAGTAGTTGGCTTTTTTATTTCATGTCTGTGTGTGAAACACTTTTGTGTGAGTTACTGTATATATATAATATAGATACGTTTTAGCAATTTATCGCAATTTTCTTCTAACTAGACTAAATATTTTAAATTGACGCGTAACCACTTTAGAAAGCTTGTATATTACAACTATGTTGTTTGATTATAATTTAAACACAAAACTACACCCTACACACTGAGATTCAAAGGAAATCCAAATTCTTTACAGTCCTTTTTTTGTGCTAAACTACGTTACCTCAGTAACTCAGTACTACATTACGGCATTATGTTGTTGTGATAACATTACTTTAAAATACGATCGTGCAATAGTTTCAATGTTTAGTTAAATTTTTTTTTTAAAAAGCCATGGGTTTTAAGTGTAATGTAAGTCGCTTTGGATAAAAGCGTCAGCTAAATGACATGTAATGTAATGTAATTAATTAAATGAAACTAAATGCATCCCATCTGGGGCTCACCTGGTCTCTGGCGGGTCCGTGCGTGGTCATGTGACGCTCCAGCTGCGAGCGGAGGCCAAAGGAGTCGGGGCACAGCAGGCAGGAGAAGCTCTCCTCGCTCCTCTCATGCCGGTACTTGATGTGTTCCTTCAGGGAGGAGAGCCGCTTGTAGCCGCGTTCACAGTACGGACAGGTGAGCAGCTGGGAAAAGTCGTCAGGTGAGCCGGACAGCAGATCTGCAGCTGGAAAAGGGCGCGGTCACAGGGTCAAAGGTCGGGGAGCGCCGCTGCTTTAAGTCAACTTTGAACTTTCATTGTGATCAGTATGACAGCATTAATGACATAATGCTTGTATTATGTAACACTGAGTATAGACATGTAGTGCTACTAACAACACACACAGTAATATGTATATATTTATATATGTGTGTGTATAAGACTTTGAGGTACTCAGCGTTACCGTGCTCGCTCTCTTCCTGGCCGATGGCTTCGGGGGTTCCCAGCCGCATCACCTCCTCCGGGGCTTCTGGGTAAATGATGGCAGTGTCGCTGCGCTGCAGATACTCGGCGATGGTCGCAGGGTGACCATCGCCGTGTTCACCATTCAGAAAGTACTCGTCCAGGACGAAGACGCCCTTCAGCCGCTTCCCTGAACACACATATATAGATATAAAGAGATATACAGTATATATAGATATACAGTGTGTGTGTACATATGTACACTCACCTGTTCCGTTTCCTTCTGGACCGACAGCTTCATATTCATCTTTCCTGTCCTCTGTTAATGAAATAACAGAAAACATAAATATAGAATTATTTTCTCCTCTTCCTCACTTAAATCAGTTAAATAATAAATCACCTTCATGTGAAGAAAGAAACGATTGTCACGAGACAAACATGTGGAGTGATGACGACCAATCAAATAACATCAAGACAATAATAATAATCATACTAATGTCCAAATATACCGTATAGTCATACAGTTATTTAAACCAGTAATACTGTCTGTTTTCCTTTGCTGGGAATACTGGGACACGTTTCTTCTTCTGTGTGTGTGGGCTCAACTCTGCTTCTTCTTCTACTCTTGTTGTTGTTGTGGTTGGTTTAGTTCAAATGGAGCTCTGTGGGGTTTTTCCTCTCTCTGTAGATGTACATGTATACCTCAGTGTTTGCCCCTCAGGGAAACTACCCCCCCACCCTCCTAAAAAAGTCTGGAATTATTATTATAGTTCCCCCCGACACGTTGCCCTGATATAATGGCAGGGGCAAACACTGAGGTATACACACATTTATAGATATACCTATATATATATATATAAAGGCACACACATTACTTGACTTACCGCAGCCTTTCAGGTGGGAGGTGTTCCTCAGCCTCCAGGTGTGATGGAGGTCCTGAGGCCCCTCCTCCTGCTCCTCCTCTTCCTGGTCCTGGTAGGACAGCAGGGCGTCGGCTGACGACTCCAAAGGGAGAACATCAGCTTCTTTATTCTCTCCCCCTTCTTCTCCGCTAACCAGGCCGTCCTCCCCCGTCTCCCAACTCGTCTCCACCACATTCTCAAAGTTCACCACTGAAACACAAACAACAACACGTTAGAACACAGTAAAAGTATTAATACTACTACTCCTCTTCTCTCTAACTAGTAGTATTAATACAACTATACTCTACACACACTTTGTTATAGTTTGATGGAATAGATCAAACTCTTACGCTTTGTAGCTTGTTAGCATAGCTTAGCATAAAGTAAACAGAGGGAAACGGGAAAGAGACCCTAAAAAGAGGAAGTGAAAAGACAACGCGCACCGTAACCATGACAACATGAAGAGAAAAGCTTCGGATTGAACAGAAAAGCCACGTGGATCCACGTGGACCATGACATCATAGGGCCGAGGTCAACAGCCTTCACGCTTCTTCAACTTTAAATGTTAGTGTCCATGGTCCCAGGAGAACAAATTAAACTATTAACTTGGCGTCTAAGTTACAACTTGGAGTTCATGCTCCTAAGAGGATGAATGAAACTATTACACTTTACATCTCAGCTTCCATGTTCCTAGTAGAAGAAATAACGCTATCCATCTTTACATCTCAGGATTCATTTTCCGAGGTGGAAAAAAACCCTTTTAAACATTTCGGCTTTGCGTTCGTGTTGCCAGGAGGATAAACGGAGCGGATGGATTTTAGTCCGTTCATATCTCTGTAGTATCATCTTTGTCTGCAGCCTTTTCCTCCCGACAACTGCACAACAGGTGCAAATGAAAAGGGGGAGCCGGGTTGAATCTGCTGACCTGGGGTGAATACCAAGAGCAGGATGGGGGGGTATGTGTGTGTGGGCGTGGGGAATGGAGGGGGGGTATGTGTGTGTGTGCGTGGGGAATGGAGGGGGGGTATGTGTGTGTGTGCGTGGGGAATGGAGAGGGGTATGTGTGTGTGTGCGTGGGGAATGGAGGGGGGGTATGTGTGTGTGTGCGTGGGGAATGGAGGGGGGGTATGTGTGTGTGTGCGTGGGGAATGGAGGGGGGGTATGTGTGTGTGTGCGTGGGGAATGGAGAGGGGGTATGTGTGTGTGTGCGTGGGGAATGGAGGGGGGGTATGTGTGTGTGTGCGTGGGGAATGGAGGGGGGGTATGTGTGTGTGTGCGTGGGGAATGGAGGGGGGGGTATGTGTGTGTGTGCGTGGGGAATGGAGGGGGGGTATGTGTGTGTGCGTGGGGAATGGAGGGGGGGGTATGTGTGTGTGTGCGTGGGGAATGGAGGGGGGGTATGTGTGTGTGCGTGGGGAATGGAGGGGGGGGTATGTGTGTGTGCGTGGGGAATGGAGGGGGGGTATGTTGTGTGTGCGTGGGGAATGGAGGGGGGGTATGTGTGTGTGTGCGTGGGGAATGGAGGGGGGGGGTATGTGTGTGTGTGCGTGGGGAATGGAGGGGGGGCGTGGGACAAACTGGGCCTCTAATAAGAGGTGTGACCAGCAGGATTTAGACGGGTAAACCCTACTGTGATGAGAGGGAGCAAAGAATGAGCTGAAAAGTGAGACGTGGATGCTCGTTGTGTGGTCGGAGGTTTGTGCCCCCGACCCCTTCTAAAAGCCCCCCACCAAAAACCCGCTGCCATAGTGCCTTTTGGCTTAAAGAATCTGACCTGAAGAAGTATTCACATCCTTCACTGCAATTTGATCCATGTATATATGTGTATATATACACACACACACATATATATATATATATATATATATATATATATATATATATATATATATATATATATGTACACACAGACATACTTGAATACATACTACATGTCAACATGTCACAGACACGACATCTGTCTGATCAACAGAGATCAGAGAACTAGAGAATAATAAGAAGTCAAATGTGAATCATTAAATCTTCAGTTAGGGTTACGGCCGAATGTGTGAGTGTGTGAGTGTGAGCGTGAGCGCGTGTGCGCGTGTGTGAGTGTGTGAGTGTGTGAGCGTGTGCGTGTGAGCGTGAGCGCGTGTGCGCGTGTGTGAGTGTGTGAGTGTGTGAGCGTGTGAGTGTGTGAGCGTGTGAGTGTGTGAGTCTCTGACTGTCTGCATGTGAGTGTGCGTGTGAGTGTGCGTGTGTGAGTGTGTGCGCTCTGATTGATGGGTTGGTCTTCGTGTCAGTGGGTGACCTCCTCAACAAAAGCCATTCACAGCGCTGTTTGCCCGCAAAGGTCACATGACTGTGGCAGAGTGTCAGATGTCTCCTGTGGCAACGCAGCCAGCATGTCTGAAAAAACTGTCCACCATTTTGTGCCTCCACTAACACACACACACACACACACACACACACACACACACACACACCTTCAGCTTCTTAAAAGTCCAAACTGACCGTCCTACATTGTTGAACCTGCTGCTCTCACAGCGTCTTATTGTCTGCAGCCGTCCGTCCTTTGTGCCCATTGAGGGAGACGAGGACAAAGGACCCCGTCCCACTTATCGAACCACAAAGACATATTAATCTCCTTCAGTCTCTCCAACAACAAACATCTCCAGCTGTTTCTGTGGTCATAAGAAGGTATTTAACATGAATCGTACGTGTATGTTTATGAATGTTGTCTGTAGGTGATATTTATGTTACTTGTATGTTATGGGGATGGGTTTATGTATGTTACACGTATGTCACATGTATTTAACATGTATGTTAAAAATATGTTACAACTAAGTTGCAGTTACATATTTGTTATATGTATTTTTCATTCTGTGACATGTACGTTACATTTATGTGACATGCATGTTACACGTATGTTGCATGTACATAACGTGCATTTACGTAATTTGTATGTTTATTATATTTCATGTAATTATTACATACCATACGTGCATGGTTATTGTATGTTACACGTGTGTAAGGTGTATGTTTATATATGACAAACCGCTTATCCTGCACACAGGGTCGCGGGGGGGCTGGAGTCCATCCCAGCCAACTTCGGGCGATAGACAGGGTACATCCTGGATTGGTCGCCAGCCAATCGCAGGGCTACACAGAGACATACAACCATTCACACTCACATTCAGACATCTACGGGCAATTTAAAGTCCCCAATTAACCTGATCATGTCTTTGGACTGTGGGAGGAAGCCGGAGAACCCGGAGAGAACCCACGCAGACACGGGGAGAACATGCAGACTCCACACAGAAAGGCCACTGGGCGGAGTTGAACCCAGGACCTTCTTGCTGTGAGGCCACAGTGCTGACCACCACGTCACCGTGCCGCCCTATACATGTATTATACATGTATGTCTAATATATGTTAAAATATGTCACAAGTACATTACATTTTATGTATAAGTTATGTTTGTTAAATGCTTGTTACATTCATTTTACATGCATGTAACATATATTTTACTTGTCAGTTAAGAATATGTGACTATGTTACAGTCACGTATATGTTACCTGCATGTTGCCTCATGTAACATGTATGTCATGTGTATGTTACACATATATTATGTGTATATTATACATAGAGTAGTTGTTTTTTAGTAAGTCTATGTTATGTGTATGTTACATGTATGTCACCTAAATATGACCTATATGTTATATGTACCTTACTTATATACATTCATTTATATGGAAATATTACAGATGTCTTATTAAAAAGGTAAATATATGTATATATACAGTTCATATATATATCACAAAAGGTACGCATATATGTATGTGTGTGTGTATGCGTGTATATATGTCTGTCTGTCTTTAGTTTATGTTTTCATCCACCAATACATTTCACTATTTAATATTATTTCAATATCTGAAGACTTCAAAAGAAAAACTATTCAGAAATTCAGCAGATGATAACTAAACTGAATAGAAAGTTCTTCTCAGGAATGTTCTCACAAGGATGTTCCAACGTTTATATGAGAACATTCATGTGACAATGGCTATAATCAACACATTCATCAGACATGTCAGTCAAACCTTTCCTCTGAGCAGCCAATCACAGCCGTCCGTTAGATACTGAATACTCAGGACGATAAATTGAACGTGATCAGAACTGAACGTACCTGAAAGGTTTCATCTGGTCGATCAGCACATTAAAGATCCATAAGTCCAGTCAACATGCATCCAATAAGAATCATTAGAATCATAATGATCCAATGAGAAAATCATCGAACAGAATCCGTCTGTTAACAATCCAGATCAGACTGATTGTCCTCGTCCAGGTGCTGTGTCCACATCCTGCATTTCACTAAAAGGGAATGAGAGATGAAAGAAGATCTCTCTCTTTCTCTCTCACTCTCTCTCTCTCTCCCGCTCTCACTCTCTCTCTCTCACCTGAACCACTGGAGGGAGACGAGGGGGGGGTATAAGACAGCCATTGCTGTGGATAATGAGGTTGCTGCCTCGCGGCAATGGGTGAAAGTGATTTATCCCACTCAGTCAGGTAACACACACACACACACACAGACAGAAGCATGTGACGGCTAAACGTTCATGCCCATGTATGGATATGGATCCCAGTAACATCAATAACAACATCTCACAAAGCAGATCTCTAGTAGATCTATATGAGTTAACTATTTACTATTTCCACCAGAATGAAGTGTTCCTCTGCTTCCAGTCTTTGTGCTAAGCTAGGCTAACCATATATACATGCACACTTGAAATGCTTTAAAGGAAGTACTCACGAATTACAGGATGCTCCCTTATATAAGAAGTTAAGGATTATTATTAATTATGATTAATTATGATATAATTATAATTATGATATCAGTGCTGATGCGTCGCAGACATGGACACAAGTGCCATGCAGGCTAGTGAAGGCTACCCGCAAACGCTAGCTAGCTAGCTAGCTAAACACATGTGATGCGAATTTGCGATTGGGCCACGCGTTTCTCGCATTGAGTTTGCAACGAAGTCGACGCGATTCGCGTCAAGCCACCAAATGCAACGAACAGGAAAGTCGAAATATTTCATCTTCGGCGACAGAACGGCGAGATTGCTGCTGCCGCGGTAGCCTATCAGTGCTGATGTTCCTATCAGTGTTGATGTTCCTATCAGTGTTGAGATGTTCCTATCAGTGTTGATGTTCCTACCAGTGTTGAGATGTTC